GGAGGAAGAAGAAATGAGATGCCCTCGGCAGGTCCTGGCGAGTCTTCCGCTTGTAGCTATATAATACTGTGCAACAGAACGAACAGCGCAACATTTTGGGCAACGAGTAACTTGTCTTTGGTTGCCTTAAACCAGAATATTCTGCCATATTCTGCACTAATGATCCTCAACAGCTTGGACCCTACGCTTTCCTTCTACCTGTGCCTGCACAGCTTGCTTCTCTGGCACTAGGTGTTTTCTGGTGACTGAAACTAGTCAGAAACACTTAGCACTGGACGGAAACACTTAGCACTGGAAGAAGAGGCTGCTTTTCCTCCTTGCAACGGTTTATGTCCCCAAAAAATGGAGAACCACAGCCACTAATAAGAGAGAGAACATGCAAAGTGGTGTATGGATGCTAAGCAAACAGTTACTCGCCAATTGTATACATATTGCATGTTGTAGTATAATGAAATACCAATCAATACAAAAGGTTATATGACATGTACAGCAAAGGTCCAAAATAATAACGAAATTTCCAAATAACGCGGTTGTTTCATGAGTCTTCCTCTGAACAGGACTGGTGTATAACTTTAAACTGCAAGAACCATTCTTTCTACTTGTTGAACAAGACTGTATACAGTTAACAAATCATCAGTCCTCATACAGGAAGAAAAATTCTTATAAGAATTTGCAGAGCACATCAAAATTCTAAAGACAGGCCACAGTATTCACCAGGAATTTGACAAAGAAAGAAAAGTCAAAATGTAGCCAGATTTAAACTGCAGGCTTTTACGCACTTAAACTGGTGTAATATCAAATCGGCCACTAGAGGGTGCAGAACAGATGTGGAACAGGGGGGGAAACCAAGGAAACAGGAACTTACAAGTGAAGAAAATGAGAATGTGGGCAAGCCCACTATGATGGAGTCAGGACTTTCCCTATATTCTCAGGGAGTCTGTTTCACAGCACAAGTACTGCCAACAGAGAAAGCAGAAGCTCAAGTGGTGGCAGTTCTTTCTGACCTAAGTGGGGGAAACTATCCATAAACGCTGGTCTGATGACCAGAGATGCCTGGTAGGTACATGTGGGTATTACTGTAAGACTCAGAGGATAGATGTACAATCTTAACTAAACTTTGAATGTTAGTGGATCTGTTCGCCTTTGATTACAAAAGGTTGGAACTTGCGAGAAGCAGAGGATTTTCTCATAGCAGCAGTGAACTCACCACATCAGTTATCTGAAAATGGCTGCCAAGATCTTCGGGGCATTGACTCGCTGAAACATGTTGTGACTTTGTCTTCCTGGTTTTTGAGAATGCATTGTTGATGAATTTTTTAAAAAACATCACGGCCACGATCAGTGATGGAGGTTCATCTCACCCTTGAGGTGTTGTGCTAAAGGGAAAAGTTCTTAGCAAGTTCTTTTTCTCTCCCTCAGTCTAAGGCCCCCTAACGGATAATTTGAGGTAGCAGCCAGTGACCCAGCTATCGCTCTTTATTGTAAAAAACCACTTTTCAAACCCAACCATGTTATGAGTCGCAAATGTAGACATTTGACAGGTACACGTCAGTCTGGAAAGCAAGTTAGAATTGCTTTGGGCAAAACAGTCCACATTTCTGAAAAACTGAGGAAGTATTTCTCCCCCATGAAAAAAATTGCTCAGAAATCATTTCCCCAAATACGAGCAGCATAGGCAAATTTTTTTAATTCCACTGTATTGTAGATTCATATTCCATGAAACTGAAATGTACTCAGGAGAAAAAAGCTGAAGGGTTTTAGATGTTTCCCATTAAAATCTGCAAAAAAAAATATGCATTTGCCGATTTATGTTCCTAATTCATATAGAAGATGACTAAAAATATATCGTTGTCACATGGAAATATAAAGCAGCTCAAGTGGTTAAGACACTGAACTGCAGGCTGTGGAAGGTCAGTAGTTTAGCAGTTCAAGACCCGAGTTGCCGCATGACGGAGTGAGCTCCCGTCTCTAGTTCCAGCTCCTGCCAACCTAGCAGTTCGAAAGCAAGAAATTGCAAGTAGATCAATAGGTACCACTTCGGTGGGAAGGAAACAGCGTTCCGTGCGCCTTGGTGTTTAGTCATGCCGGCCAAATGACCACGGAAACGTCTTCGGACAGCGCTGGCTCTTCGGCTTGGAAACGGAGACGAGCACCGCAACCCTAGAGTCGGACTTGACTGGCTTTCGAGCAAGGGAACCTTTACCTTTACTTCAACCCACACTACAGCTATCATTCCACCAAACGTACGCATTGTACCTCAAATATGGAGACCTGACCGTGCATGCAGAGCGGTTTCTGGGTGGCAGCACCAATGCAGTGTAAATGAACAGAGTGTTTGTCATGCAAGCAGCTCACTAAAGAAGGGGAGGGTGGCGAGCACAAACTCTCCATAGTAATGGCAGCGGCACTTTTCAATGTGGAAAAGCCCTTGTTGCCTGACAGGCTGTTCCACAATCTTGGGAAAGCAAGGGGGAGTGTTTTGAATTTCCAATGCCCATGTCTCATCCCCGCTTGTTATTTGCAAACAATAGTTATATCACAGTGTCATTTGATGTGACGCATGGATAAAAAAGGCTTGGCGTAGCACTTGAATTGTCAGTTTGTGAACAACTCTAGCAATGTTCATAGGGGTGAAGTGGATGCTTGCCCTGACGTTACACGAGTGAAACAGAGGAGCCGAACCATTCCTCCGCCTGTCAATTTTCCACAGTACCTGTGGGAGTGAGCAATTCAGTATGCCTGGGCATTGGGGGGCACTACATCACTGTTATCTGCTTGAAGAGGATGCCTCTTTTTGTCTTAACCTGGGAGCAGGGCCGGCTCCCTCACTAGGCGAACTAGGCGATCGCCTAGAGCGGGACGGCCCTTAGGGGCACCAAACTGCACCCGGCCCCATACTCTGGGAGTTTCTTGATTATTTGTGTTTTTCATTCTTCCTAAAATGCATTTATTTTTGAAAATTGGTGGGGGCACCGGGGGGGGGGCAGAAGGGATCCTCGCCTAGGGTGCAAAATAAGCTGCAGCCGGCCCTGCCTGGGAGCTGCCCTCTCCCTTTGTCCTCTCACTCTCTGCACATGGCCTTCCATGGAGACATATGTCTCTGGAGGCCTCTCCTGTAGAGACAGTGCCCTCATACTCCCCCACACAAGACGCCGGACAAGCTGGCCATTTGCGAGAGGGAAAGGGCTCTTTAGATTAGGCCTCTTTCTCTTTAGATTAGGCCTCTTTCTCTTCTTTTGACTGCAACATGACTGTAAACTGGGTCTACTTGAATAAATGTAGGAGAAGTTCTTTTCCAGCAGAAGGGGTAGTGAATTAACTGTTTTGCGTGCCTGCCGCCTCTGTACCTAAGGCTGCTGCTGTTGTTGTGCCAATAAAGGTTTGTTGTGTGTGAATAGATGTAAGTTTACCTTTTTTGCAATATACTTCCGGGGGATTTGTTCACTGCTATAATGTACTGGGTTCCGACGCGTAGCGAGTGATCAGCTCATATTTATTAGTGAAGGTTCGGCTCAACTAAAAGACAAACTAGCTGGGTTTGAACCCCGCTTTTCTCCGTGCAGCACGCAACACCCAACACACACCCCACTCCCACGATTGGCTATTTACAGTGTAAGAGTCCATCATAGGTCAACCTTAGGATCCGGGCAAACCTATTGGTCCCCTCAAGGATCCGAGTCGGCTATTGTTCTAAATCCTGAAGGTGCGCTAGACCGTATGGCTCCCTTAGCGCTACGTGTCCAGACATGTCCAATGTTCCCTCTAAGCTGTGGAGTCTTCTGAGCAAAAATTTTACTTTGTGAGCTGCTGGCATTAAGGCTGTGAGCGAGTGATTTGGCTACTGCATAAATTAGTTTGCTCTGGAGCCCTCCTTCCTGAGTTAAGGAAAAAATGTGTGAGCCGGAGGCTAAGAAACTGTGAGCTAGCTCACACTAACTCAGCTTAGAGGGAACACTGCTACTAGGCATCTCTGGTCATCAGACCAGCGTTTATGGATAGTTCCCCCACTTAGGTCAGAAAGAACTGCCACCACTTGAGCTTCTGCTTTCTCTGTTGGAACACGGGACATGTCTGTATCGATACGTAACAACTGCACTCAGTATCATGCTTCTATGACTCGACAAAACTCTGCTATATTAACCAAATATCCCAGTAGAACCACACACACACACACATACTGTTTCCCACACACACACCAGGATTTTATCATGTATTAAAGCCCAGTTGAGGAAAATTGATTTTAAAAATGGACAGACGGAGGCATTTAGAAAGAACCAAAGCCCCAAAAAGACGTGAGAGCATTCCCCTCCTACATGGTGATTCTCCCCCCCCATGCACCCCTGCAAATGCTCCCCCTCCATTAGCATAACCCTGGCCTGAGAATCCGGTCTTCCTCTCATAATGAGCAATTACATTTGCAAGTTCAGCACTATAAAACGGGCAAGCAAAAGTCAAAGTTCTGAGTTCAGGGGTTAATGAGAAGTGGCTTCTTAGCCTCTACCTCTGATCCTTTTGCTTCACAAAGAAATACCAACTTCTCTTGTCTTCCCCCCCCCCCTTTCTTTTATACCAGACAAAATACAGCTTGGATTCTAACGAGGAGATCCGGCTTCCGGCAGCAGGAGCAGAACACCTTTTACCTTCCTGTCCTGATCGCCGATAATGGACGCCCCATGCTGAGCAGCACCGGGACAGTGACCATCCGCGTCTGCAGCTGCGACGACAAAGGCCTGCTGATGTCCTGCAACGCAGAGGCCTACGTCCTCCCTGTCACCCTCAGCAGAGGGGCACTCATTGCCATCCTGGCCTGCATCTTCGTCTTGCTGGGTAAACGCGACATAGCATTTCTTGAAGGAAGACCAGGGGTCGTTTCGTAGAAAAAGAGCTAGGGGGACTCATTAGCATAACTCATTAGCATATGCCACACACCCTGACATCACCGGAGGTGTGTCATAAGGCCACACCCCCTGACATCACCGGAAGTGTGTCATAAGGCCACACCCCCCGCCGATCCCCCCCGAAATGACCTCTGAGGAAGACAGATCAGGCCCATCTGTTCTTCGGACTCACACAGACTCACTGAAGTGGAGTGCCTATTAAGGACTATCAACTCCACCTCAGTGCTGTGTTTCAGTTAATATTTCATGTGAAGTACTGTTTTTGGATTGACATTGGCTTAGAGCACAGTTTGGCCTCCAAGTCAGGGGCCCCCAACCTTTTTGAGCCTGCCAGCACATTTGGAATTCTGACACCGTGTGATGGGTGCGCCAAACAAAATGGCTGCCACAAAATGGCCAGCGCAGGAAGTAAAGTCAGCCAACGAATGATTGCCACAGCTTAGCTTCAGTACACAGGGTAGATCCTTGAGCTGTGGTGCAGGCCCATAGCTACAGTGGGGCATTCAGAAGAAGAA